TCGTTCGCTGGATACGCCCCCTGTCTGGTGTTTATATAGATATTTTTTCTTTCTTTCTTTCTTTCTCTTTTCCTACTTGTTTTATGTTTTATTTATTTGTTTATTTATTTACTTGTTTACTATTATTTTTTGTCTATTTCTTTTTTTTTCTTTGTTTCTCTCTTTCTTTGTTTATATTTATCTATTTCTTTCTTTCTTTCTCTCTTTTTTTCTTCTTTCTTTCTTTCTTTTCTTCTTTCTTTCTTTTCCTTTCTTTTTTTCTTACTGTTTTTGCTTACTGTTCTTCTTCTATATTTTCTCATTCTCTTTCTCTTTCTTCTCCTTCTGCTTGTTCTTCTCCTTCTTCGTCTATTTTCATTTCTTCTCATTCTTTTTCATTTTCTGTTTGTTTGCTTTTTGTCTTCTTCTTTTCTTCTTTTTATTCTTCTTAGCTTTCTTCTTCTTCTTCTTCTTTTCTTTCTTCATTTTTTTCCTCTTCTCCTCTTCCTTCTCTTCTCAATTTCTTCGTCATTATCTTCTTCTTCATCGTTTTCTCTTTCTTCTTCTACTCTATCCCTTTTTTATTCTATCCCATGTAAGTCTCAGCATCTTTCACGCCTCTCCAGCCTGTCTAAATGCAGTTCTTAAACTCCTCCTCCTCCTCCTCCTCCCCCTGCTTCTTCTTCTTCTTCTTCTTCTTCTTCTTCTTCTTCTTCTTCTTCTCTTTCTTCTTCTTTTTCGTTTTCTTCTTCTTCATTTTCTTCTTCATTTTCTTCTTCTTTTTCTTCTTCTGCTTTTTCTTCTTCTTCTTTTTCGTGTTGTTCTTCTTCATTTTCTTCTTCTTCTTCTTCTTCTTCTTCTTCTTCTTCTTCTTTTCTTTTTCTTCTTCTTTCTCTTCTTCTTCTTTTTCTTTTTCTTCTTCTTTTTCTTCTTTTTCTTCTTCTTCTTCCTCTTCTTCCTTTTTCTTCTTCTTCTTCTTCCTCTTCTTCCTTTTCTTCTCCTTCTTCTTTTTCTTCTTCCTCTTCTTCCTTTACTCCTTCTCCTTCTCCATCTCCTTCTTCTCTCTCTTTTTAATGCTTTATTGAAAACCAGTTACATCATATTTGGTCAAAATATTAAAGTTACAGAAAAAATACGACTAAAAGGGATTTATTTTTAGTAACTCCTATCTAATTTCATCTCGTTGTGTACACGTACTTATGTACTTTAACACATTCTTATATTACTTATATGAATGTACTTATGTACTATAACACATTCTTATATTACTTATAAGAATGTACTTATGTACTATGACACAGTCTTATATTACTTATAAGAATGTACTTATGTACTATAACACATTCTTATATTACTTATAAGAATGTACTTATGTACTATACACATTCTTATATTACTTATAAGAATGTACTTATGTACTATAAACACATTCTTATATTACTTATAAGAATGTACTTATGTACTATAACACATCTTAAATTACTTATAAGAATGTACTTATGTACTATAACACATTCTTATATTACTTATAAGAATGTACCTTATGTACTATAACACATTCCTTAAATTACTTATAAGAATGTACTTATGTACTATAACACATTCTTCTATTACTTATAAGAATGTACTTATGTACTTAAACACATTCTTAAATTACTTATAAGAATGTACTAGCCTAACTATAACACCTTCTTATATTACTTATAAGAAGATAACACATTCTTATATTACTTATAAGAATGTACTTATGTACTATAACACATTCTTATATTACTTATAAGAATGTACTTATGTACTATAACACATTCTTATATTACTTATAAGAATGTACTTATGTACTATAACACATTCTTATATTACTTATAAGAATGTACTTATGTACTATAACACATTCTTATTACTTATAAGAATGTACTTATGTACTATAACACATTCTTATATTACTTATAAGAATGTACTTATGTACTATAACACATTCTTATATTACTTATAAGAATGTACTTATGTACTATAACACATTCTTATATTACTTATAAGAATGTACTTATGTACTATAACACATCTTATATTACTTATAAGAATGTACTTATGTACTATAACACATTCTTAATTACTTATAAGAATGTACTTATGTACTATAACACATTCTTATATTACTTATAAGAATGTACTTATGTACTATAACACATTCTTATATTACTTATAAGAATGTACTTATGTACTTTAACACATTCTTATATTACTTATAAGAATGTACTTATGTACTTTAACACATTCTTATATTACTTATAAGAATGTACTTATGTACTATACACATTCTTATATTATTATAAGAATGTACTATGTACTATAACACATTCTTATATTACTTATAAGAATGTACTTATGTACTATAACACATTCTTATATTACTTATAAGATGTACTTATGTACTATAAACACATTCTTATATTACTTATAAGAATGTACTTATGTACTATACCACATTCTTATATTACTTATATGAATGTACTTATGTACA